TCTGGGCACCCAGTTCATCAGATTTTAGTGGACATTTACTGAATGTCTTTTGGCTTTTGAAACCAAGCAATTGTGTCTGCACTGGAGCCTTGCATGCACAGGTTTCATATTGCTACAAGAGAGATACTGTCCTGCATCAGATTTTGTAAGACTCCCAGTTTAGCTCTGCGTCTTGATGAATGGTTAAACCACTTGTATTTTGCCAAATAATTTGCTATAAAGAAAGATATGTCCAACAAGTTATGCAATTACCATTATTAATCAGTTTGTGTCTTTGCAAGATCAAGGGAATCTTATTTTACACTGGAATTTTTAGCTGATGAGCTGGATTCATGCAGTTTCTTTCAATCCTCTTTAGAGAAGGATGGAGGGGAGTTAATTCCGCCAATGCTTCAAGAGACCAAATATCCCATTTATTAATTAATAATATCCATCTGGATTTTGTCAAATTATTCCCCCTGCATTTCCATGGATTTTTATCCAAAGAAAAAGCATTCTGAGCCCTGTCGTATCAATTTTGAAATCTTTGGAAGCCTGGCTGTTCTTTCCTTGTTTCTAGCACCTACTAGTTACAGGACATCAGGAATGCAAGTGGAGGACAGATGATGGGAGGAGGCTGTGTTTGTGAGATCTTCTTTTGATGTGTGGGAACAACTGAAATAGGGCTCTTGAAAGCCACTACAAGCCAAAAAAAGTCCTCTGACACTGGACATCTCAAGAAGATGAAAACCTTCCTCCTGCTTCCATTGTCCCTGGCCTGGGCTTTTGATTTGACGCAAGAAATGTGGTATGTGTCTGAAGTTTAGAAAGTTTATGCTGGCAAATAGAAAAGGGGGAGGTGGGTTGAGTAAGCTGGGACTGAGCTTCAGGCACATAACACTAACGTCCCTGCTGAGGGCCCTGAGCGTGAGCGGGCCCCGTGGTGAAGAGCCAGGCTTTGAGCCACGGGAGAAGAGCAAGTGCCAGATGCCGTACGGAGGTGAGCCCAGCGGCTCTGCGGGACTCAGAAGGCCCAGGGGTGAGTTTTGCAGGCAACAACCTCTGCCGCTGGCGCTGGCCTGCGAGCTCCTTGGCCAGTGCAGCGCGTCATCCCTCCTGCGTTCCTGTCGCGCTCGCACGCCGTCTCCTACGTTGGGCCCGTCTCCCGCTGCGGTGTTGGCAGGAGGCGCGGCCCCATTTCAGTTCTTTCCAACTTTCTGACCCAGTTCAGCTGCATCAGAGAGGTGGGGTCTGGAAACCAGAGACAAGCCCTCACGCCGGTGGGACTTCTGTTGCCAGAGGCTCCAGCTCAGCATGTCCATTTAGGCTCAGAATTGACTTTTTGCGTCCATACATGGACAAAAGCCCGAGTGTGTTGCTGAGTTGAGGCCATCCTTCACCCCGTGCAATGCAGCGCAAACGGGGGATGAAAGTTCTTCATGTCTTCTGCAGGGATCAGCCCACCTGACACCGCGGGCAGCAACCACAAGCGCTGCCCTGCGGCTGGTTCTCTGTACCTGCTCTGGTTGGGTGGGTGACTAACATTACCCATAGCATCAAGACATATTTCATTTATATGGTGGCATTAGGATGTTTTCTGCCTCCAGTCTTCATGGAGACGTAACTTTTGTATCAGAAGTAGTAATAGCAACAGAGGTGCGCACTGTTTGCATCGAGGTTTTCCAATCAAAACCTCATGTTCTTCTTCACTTGGTGTTATCCCTCTCTCTACTTCAACCTTATTGACTAGAAAATACCAAGACTTTAATACTGAGACTTTAATACATTGCACATTTTGCTAATTTGCTTTCTGGCTGTGAGCCTCTGTGGTATCATTTTCCAGCAGTTTACTCAGAGGGCTAGAAACTTTCTTTTTTTGTTTAATGAAAGTGGGAATTCTCCTTGAGTCTCTTGACTATGGCCATGGCAGCCTTAAGAAAAACAGAACGTGACAGAAAATAGATGAATGGCTCCAGTGCTATTGCAATAACGCGTAAGGACCCCGTTCGCGCTCTGTGCTGTGCTCACTTACGAGAGGACACTCTTTGTTGAAAGAACTGTGTATAGTTTGAGATTTTGAATGTGCCTAAATCCCTCGTGCTTTTCCTTCTTTAGTTTGGCTCTGTGGATCTCACGGATGTGAGTGCTCTCTTCTTTCTACTTTATTTCTTTTGGGCACTTCTTCAGTCCTAATCATAAAAAACCTAGAATTTCTCAGCAATTTCAACTCTGGAGACTTCCTGACCTCTATCATTGAGTGCCCAGGGAAAATAAACTTGTTACTATGGTTTGAACCTTAGTGACTGCTAAGTCATATAGTCAATTTATAAAAGAGCGTACTGAGTTTTTCTGTGCACGCCTTTAAATCTTTTACAGCGTTTATCAGCAGAGCACTCATTTAAAACATGTTGTTTTAATGAAAAGGATACTGTTGCCACTGTTTTGTGTTGATTATGTGGTAACACATTTTTATTATCACCCATAAAAATGATTTGGAGCTGTTCCACTCCAGATGCAACCTTCGGCAGGGCTGTGCTAGTGCCGCTCGCGCCGCCCGGGATGGCCCCGGACCCCCGCGGTTTGCTGGTCTCTGAGCATTGCTGCTATTGATTTAATATCACCTCTTCCTGCAGCACTGCTGAGCTGTGCTGAAATACTGTCCAAGACAGCCCTCGTCGGTCCCTTCCTCGCAGCGGGAGCATCCTCACCCTGCCCTGCCTGCGGCCCCTCTAATTTGCCACCTCTAGGATTAGTTTTGCCTCTGGTGCCGCGTACACCTCGGTGCCGCGTACACCTCGGTGCCGAGTACACCTCGGCAACATCCAGGGGTTTTGCTGGGGAAGTAATAAGATAATATAACAGCATTGAGTGATTCAGAAAAGCTCTTCAATGCACACTGGACTCCCGTGTCAATGGGAATTAAGCACGATCATGGTAAAGCACGTGCTGAAGTGTTTGTTGAACTGATAGCGTACTTTCTTGAAAGTCTGACAAATCAATCATTGGGTGGAAGCACAGAAGTGCAAGAGGCAGGCTGAACCGATTCCTTCCTTGCCTGGCATCAGAGAAGCCTGTTGAATAAAAGCATTGTGACCTGATTCCTTTTTGCTTTCTTATTACTCAGAAAGCCAGACTCTGGATCCCTGAATAAAGATCCTTGCAATAAAGGAAGAACGTTTCTCGTTTGCAACAGCCGAGGTTCAGTTCCCTTGCACTTAACCTAGCTCCCAGTTTAATTAGTTTCTGATTCACCCCTGTCAGGCCAGTGCATTCTGCAGGAAGTTCATCATTTCTGGCGCTGCTGCAATACTGGCTCTCACCGTGCCTTGTAATAAGTGATAAACCTTGTAATAATTGCGAGTTAAAAACAAACAAGCGGAGCCAAGTCACTCTCATTTATAATTGCAGTGTGACTTCATTATGTAAAGACAACACAGCATGTAAAAGCTGAAACTTCTAGGGATTTGGTGGAAAGTTTGAGCCATGTTCTCTTTTATTTCCCTTATCCCTAAATCAGTATTTGCTTAGGTGATTTCCACAGAGGAAGAGACAGTGTTGTAACAAACCACAGCGTCGCACTCCTCAAACAATTTTTCTGGATAGGTTTGTGCTTAGAAAGCAGACTTTGCTGGAGATGCTGGATGCTTGGCTCAGAACTCTTGTTCTGGAAACCTCAGCCCTGCTCCTGCCTGATGGGAATCCTGCGTCCATCCTGGGCAGGCAGCTTTCCCAGGGATCCATCCAGCTGCTGGCTGAGCGGCAGGGTCGCTGCTGCATCCCAGGCATGGCTGATGCAGGAGCTGCTGATGCTGTGGGTGCTGCCCTTGGCCTCTGTTTAGCTTCTCTCTAGCAATTGGGGTAAAATCCATTTGCAGCAGAGCACGTGGGCTTGGCACGACAGGTCAGAGCTCCCGACGGGTTAGGCTTTTTCAGAAGAAACCTGTAGACTACTTTGTTAGGCCACTCTTGCTTTGTGGCTGGGAAGGAGGCATGGGGATGAAACATTTAGAATAAAATATAAATTATTATTTTTTAAACTCTAATTTTGTGAAAACTTTAATGAAAAATGTTGCTTATAAAATGCAGTGAATGTCCCCCAGGGCTTCACTTTAATGGAGTCTGTCAGTGGGCAGAGTCCACCTGGGTCCTCCATCCCTCTACTTTGGGTGGGTGTTTAGGCTTTTTGCAGCCATGTTGAAGACCAACTTGTAGTTTCATACGAACCAGCAGTGGCTGGGGGAGCTCAGCATGATGAACAGCTGTTTAAATCATACAGGGAAAACGGGGTCACTTTGCCAAGGAGCTTAGGCTGTACCTGGTCCGGATAGCTCGGGGACGCACATTGGGATGTGGATTTATTTGAAGGAACTGTGTTTGGAGGTGTAGAAACAGTTGCAAGTTTTATTAGGATCCTATTACTTCTAAGTGGAGCTCTTTGAGGAAATTGCCTGCCTTTTTTTAATTCGCTCTAGAATTAAAGCACTTTCGGCTCTTTAGAAGCTTCATATTCTCCATCATCTTTAATTTGGTCTGCATTTGTGCTTTGACTTACAACCAGTACTTGTCTTGAAGCGCCTGAGTTTGCTGCCCTGGGCACACAGGTACAGCCCTTGCCTTGTACCAGCTGTCAGCAATTTCTGCCCTAGTGGCTCTGGATTTGAACACGGAACCTGACAGCGAAGCGTGTGTCCCCCAACACCAGCTCCGGTCCCTGGTTTCACGTTTCTCACCAGGGAGACAACGGCAGGGGAGGCTGAGTGTCTCTGGGAGCAGTGAAGCCCTCTCCAAGGAGGGCGGCTGCGGGACCCTCTTGCAACTTAACACAGCAGCTTCCTACACTAATTACTGCCACTTTCCAGAAAACCAATAAAGCTTTAACACCAAAACCCTGTAGTCTGTCATGCAGAGTTATTCACAGCTCCTGCTGCCAAGGAGAGGAGTTTCAAGACCTCTTCAGGATTGAGACCATGTATGAAACTGTCCTGCTGACCTTGTTTGCCTTCCCCATGTCCCCTGTCTAGATCCTGCTGCTCGAGGCTGCAGAGCGAAGCCCACCGTTGGAAAACAACCTGCCAATCACTGGGACAACAGCCACGTGGTACGACGATTTGCTACCAGATGCCTTTCCCCTGCTGAATCCTGGAACTGTCCTGAGAAAAACAGTGGGATCTGTTGGTAAGCCTAACCTGCTCTTCGCCCATCACCCCCCTACACACACAATTCCCGTGGGGTCAGCCTGCTGTAGTATTGGAAGCTGCCGGGGACAGGGGTTGGAGGGGAACGCTGGCAGCTCCTTGCCCCTGCTCTGTAAAGGAGACGAGGGTTAAGATTTTCAGGTGGGCAATTGCTCTCTTTTTGTGGGCATGTTTGCTGCTGAGTGTTTGGTCCTGCCAGGAGCCGTTGACGGGAGCGCTGCGGTCGGGCGGTGCGGTGCTGCGCGGTGGGCAGCCTCTCTTTTAGGGTCAGAATTGGTGTGATGTAGCTCTAGAGACAGGATTCCTCCCACCCAGGGGCTGCTCAGTCTAAAGGTTCAGTATTGTCTCTTGTCTCTCCCCCTCTGCCAAGCTGTGAACGCAGAGATGGTCTCATGCCAACACACGTGCCGGATTCACGGATGAGGAAGGAATTAAATCTTCTCTGATTCCACCTCAAACGATCCTTTTGGCTGCAGCAAGCTGGGTGTGATTTCCTCAGGGCCCCTTCCCCCTGCCCCTGCAGGGATGAGGGTCACCTCGTGGCATGGAGAGGGACTTTGGGCTTTTCTCTCCATGTCTCTGCCCCTCCTTCAATTAAGCCAGTGCAGAGCAGACATGTTCCTGGAAGAAAGCAGCTAAGCTCAAAACCTGCCATATTAAGCTCCATTTTGCCAGCCATAACAGCCCGTTGCTAGCCTCGATTTCTGTTGGCACAAACATCTGCTGAGAGCTGAGTTCTGGTCTCAGGAAAGTTAGGTTTCTGTTAACCTCAGTAGGGCCACTATGCCTGCCTGAGTGTTTCAGTGTACATATTTTAAGTCCAAAGACTGTGGATTTTGAGGCCTGGATAGACTGAAACATTCCTGAGGAAACTGCAAAGAGTCATTGGGATCACAGGGGGACAGTTCCCACTCACCTCCTGAGCACCGAGCGCAGTGTTTCCCTGCCTGGGAGCGGTGCAGGGAGGTAGAGAATTGGGGTGCAGGGGTAATTCTTGGTTTTATGAGGAGGAAAACCTTTCCCATTAATAGCAACATCAGTTGCAGCCTGCATTATATTTTTTAAATTTACCGTAAACACAATGAGCTGTTTTATGATCCCTCTTGTGGCATGAAAAAAAAATACACTTACAAGAAAATCTCCCTATGAGCCCACTTGGCTAGACAGATCTCCACGCATTGAATTTCCTTGACCTTGGCATTCTCATTTCAAGATCTCTGCTCTCTGCTTCCAAAGCCTTGTCTGTCAGTTGCTTTACTTGCTCCCAGAGCAGTTCTTTAGTTCTTTATCCTCTATAGGGTCTACTTGCTTTTTCCTTCTTTTTTTCTCCTTTTTTTTTTTTGTTTTCCGATCGAGCAGTTTATTGTGGCAGCCCTTCATGACTGCAGCAGACTTGGAGCAACCAACATAGACCAGATGTCGTCCGTGTTTATAATTTGACAGGATGCCACAACATGGAGGGAGATTCACTAACAATGTGTTCTGCAAAGTATTTTCAGAACCACAGAGACAGCTGCCAGGAACTGAATTACAGCAGTTTCCCCCAGTGTCCGTTATATGCTCATTCTGCCCTCTCCATGTCTTTTATTTTTGCTGTTGCAATATCTCTGCACCTGCACTTCGTTGTACTGAAGTCCATCCAGCAGAAGTACAGACGACTCTCTCTCTTCCGCTCCTCTCGGAGGCTCCGTACGCAGGATAATCTTCTGCTGCAAGGAGCAGCAAACGCCGCTCACCCAGGCAGTGGTGCAAAACAGAACGGATCCCCTGTAGCACTTGCATCAGGCTGACTACATGGTCCAGTATCACCCTCTGCCCCTGCAGTAAATCCAGGAGGCAGCTAGTGATCACCTCCAAAAAACAGGTGATGTTGTCTGAGCTTCACGTGAGCCCGTTGTCAGCCAGGCTTCCAGGCTGTGCAGGCAGCTGGCTGAACGCATTCCAGCCCTGCCTGCGTGCTGCCAGCGTAGTCCTTGCTCACTGGTACCCTTTGTTTTTCCAGCCTTGATTCATTTAAGCTAGTGGAGAATAACAACTCTGGTGTAATAACTGGGCATCAGGCGTACGCTGGACCCTTTCAGGTCAGGACAGTGTCTTTCAGCAGTTAGAAGGAATCAGTTAAGTTGCTTATTGACACGTGATTGCCTGCTCATGCCCCTACCCGAGCTCTGTGGGCTTCGAATGCTTGCTTCGCTAAGGAGCTGTGGGGATGTTTCATGGATCTGGGTTCACGGTTGGCTTCCTTAGGTGCCCACACCAGTTTTTATCAACAGTTCAAAGCTAGCCGAAAAAACACGCTGCGGATTTTGGTGAAATGCAGGGAATTTTGTGCAGTTGGTTTAGGATAGTGGGGGACTGCCCATTTTGCATGATTTCAGCACTGTACTGTGACTTGTTGCTCAAAACTGGTCCCATGTTCACTTATAGAGATTGCAGACCTCAGGAGATCTTTCAACAAGTGTGATATTAGAGCAGGTGGAAGTCAAACCTCAGTGTCCTGTGTGATTTGGGGTTGTGGAAAGCTAAGCCTCTGTCCCTCCCATCCTCTTCCCCAGAGTTTTTTATGAAATATTGCCTAATTTGCCTTGCTTCTAGTTTTTCAGCCAAAGCAAATTCAAATCCTAGCTTGCGTACCACCGAGTTTCTCAGCCAGATGAACTAAGGGCAGAATGTTGGTGCCTAACACGAAGATAGTAGATACAGACTAGATGCCTTGAGTGGTGGGAGTGTTTGTGGATGACCTTACAGCTCTGGGTTGGCTGACACGTCTCCAGGCTGAAGTCCAGGAAAACTTGCTACCATTTATTAGGGTAGTTATTTCTTCTGTGAGTGACAGGGCTGAGAACAGACAATCATTTAAAAGCAACCGGAGCTGTTGAGACAGCTGCACCACTGGCCTTTCTGATCAGCTTGTTAATCAACAGGATACATTTTACTGAGCATTAAGAAAAATATATGAGCCAGTTGGCAGTGAGAGACCTAATTTTTCATATCTTTTTCCTTCTTTCTTTTTTTTTTTTTTTTTAACCCTGACCCTCTTCACCAGAGCCTAAAGGACACAGAGGTGCAGAGGAGCAGCTAATACCACAGGGTAAGTCAATGGTTTCTGCCATTTCCTCTTTCAAAGCACAAAATGTTGCTGTGGCCAGTCCTGTACATGCTATGTCCCAAAAAGCAGAAGGGTCCTGTGGCCAGGAGTCCTCAGTGATTCAGACCCTCACAGAAACAGAGAGGCTGGTTTCTTCTTTGGGTTTTATCTGATCAGGGGCTTCTCTGGTTAGAGAGGTGAAATGCCAACTTTATCATCTCTGAGACGTCCTGCTCCCCCAGCACACAAAGGATGGAGAGCACTGCCCAGTGGAGAGGTGATTCACTGGAGGACACGTGGCTAGAGTGAGCAGGACATGTGCTGAGTGATGGGAGAAGACACCAGTACTCTCTTATTGGTATTGCCTGCCAGGGGCACTGAGAGCTGCTGGTGATGTTCTGGGCATCGTTGTGCTAAGCTCCGTACAGAGAATGCCCAGCTCCTGCACAGAGAGAACCCTCGGGAAGGAGAGGGAGCAGATGGTGTGTTGCAGGTTAATGGCAGGGCCAGGAAGAAAATCCAGGTCTCTGCACGTCTGATTTGATCTCCAGCAGTAGAATGCTCACTCTCTGCCTTTTTTTTAATTTTATTTATTTTTCCCCATGGGTTTTCCTTTCATGGTTTTGCAGGATAAATACTCGCCACGGGCTTCAGCTCTCTGAAAGCAATGCCACTGCAGCAGAGCTGATTTATGCCAGCTGAAGATTTGGCCTGTTCATTTCCCTCCCCCCTTTTCCCTGAATCCTTCCCTCTTTCTTCTCCCTTTTGCACTTGTCTCTTTTATGCTGGTAACACCATTTGTCACCAGTATGAGCATTTGCCTGACACATTACTCAGTCCTGCTTCTCCTCGTCTTTCCTTTAGTGCTTTCCACCTTCAGGGAAGTAAGTGCCAGTTTCTTTAAAGCTCTGCTGCAGCAGCGTGATTGAGGATGCGAGCAGCAAATGATTGCTCCTGGTCTGCAGAAGTTCACAGGATTGAGTTATAAAGGATTGAGGCTGATTTATACAAGTGAGGAAATGTTTTGACCCACGCTCAGCACCACAGTGTGTTGTGCTTGCAAAACAGTTTCTGCTCTTCTTCCCTCTATGCCGGAAAGAATTTGCTGTAATAAAGTTTCAGGTGTGTTGGGGGTTTTTGGGAGGGGGGAGAAGCTGTTTGCAATACTGTGAACAAATGCTCTCGCTCTCCTAAATGGACTCCTGATAGCCTGCCCAAGCTTGCCAAGTACAGCATCCCCTGTCAGGTGAGAGGAGGAGCCCCTCTGTTCACAGAAAAATCTGCAGTTTGTGTCCTGTGGGTAAGCAAATTGATCCAAATTAAAACCTTACCTTAATTCCTTGTTCAATGCTCAGATCAGATCTTTATTGATGACTGAATAAAACAAAAGTACAGGCAGACACTCGCATACAAAGCCTTTGAAAAACCTAATTTCTTCAGCCTACCCAGTCTCACCATGGATTAGAGATGGATAGATCTCATTTTTGTAAGAAAAAATAATTTGGACATCTCTCCAGAATGGCAAAAAAACAGAAGAGAGGAAGGGGAATCTTTCAAGGGGATCTAATATTGGGGGATTGTTGCTTTGTTGTGAGAAATGCAGAGTTTGGATGAATGTCTGGGGGGACAAGGCTTTGTGCCCTAGGTGGGTTGTCCCACACCTAGAGTAGGAACCAGATCCAAATGTGGGAGCTGCAAATCTGTGAGCCTTGGTTTTTATTATGTGGTGCCAGCTCTGACGGTGTTAGTTGGCCCACTTCTTTCCTTTTTCTCTTCTCTCCTTCTATTCCCATCCGTTCTTCTCCACCCCCTACATGCAGCAGGTTCTCCTGGCACCGCTCTTGGAAGATCCAGTACCTTTTCAGATACCAGGGAAGGGGAAGGACACAGCTTAACAGTTGATCAAAACTGAAGCTGCATTCTGCTGGGTTATGGTCATACCTACTATACAGACTAAAACTTGAAATCTGAGTGCACTGAACTTTGGACTCAGACAGATCTGGCTTTGTAGCTTCATCTGCCACTGCTTTCAAATACTGAAAGCCCTTTGGTAGCCCAGAAACCGGGAACCTCTGACTCTCTTGGCTCTGACAGTTGATGCCTTTATTGTAACCATTAACCACCTAATCTGAGCAGACAGACTAACTCACCCACCTCTCTAAGGTATTAAAGGCTTCACTGGTGTTTGCACAGTATTTAAGTGTGTCTTTCCAAAGCAGCTACTACTTTTGTGAGCCAAAGATGCACAGTGTTTTTCTGAAAAACACTATAAAATTGCCAAGTGTTGTTATTATTTTGATATTCTAAAGATAACAGCATTAAGATTTTGTTTAGTGTTATCAGAAATAGTCACTTTCAGATTTCAAACGCTGCCTGCACCTTTTGTGTGCTTACTGGGGGTCCGAGTGGACTTGCCAAGAAGCGTCCTGCTGGGCTGTAATTAGTGTGTTACTGGTATTTCCAGATGGGTTTGCTCAGCACCTTATTCATTGATATAAATTAGTAACATCTAGTTACTTCAAAAGTATGGGTGCATTAATTTCAGTTTGGGTTGAAAAATGCTTGAGCACAGCATGGTACACTTGTTAGATGAATGAAAACAGGAGAAAAGCGGGAAGCGACTTTGATGCAGAATCTCTGGGTGGTAAGTATAGGTCAGCCAGAGCAAGTGGGAGACAGCGTTTGCTTTACTTTTGCAAATATATTTCGTGTATTTTGATACCCTGGGACTACCACGGAGCTGACACGCGTACCTGGATGAAGCTAGCAATGGAGTGCTTGAGGGAGCATCCGGACACTGCCCTGAGCCATTCACACCTTGGGAAGGGGACAGTGTGGGCTCCGTTTAGCTTTGACCAGCACATCCCAGCTGGAGGAACACACCCTTTTTGGGGTGAGCCTTGTGCATGGGGACGTGCTTGTTTCTTTAAAGATCGGAGGAAGAAGAGGAGAAGCAAGGTCCAGTCTGGCTCTTCTCCCCTACACACCAGCCAGCTCTTGCCACCAGTACTGTACTGTCTGTGCAAAGCTGCATGTCTCCCTTTTCCATCTTTGAGTCCCTCTCTTCTGGTTTCTAGGTTGCTAAAGGCCTTCTGACCTCAGCAGTGTCCTAACCTCCAACTAATTTCCTTTCTGAATGTTTTCAGGGCTGCCAGGACAGGTTGGTCCTCCAGGCCCAGTTGGACCAACTGGTCTTCCAGGACCACCAGGGCCAAAAGGAGAGAAGGGACAACCTGGTGAGAGGGGCCCAGCAGGGCCTCCAGGTAAGTCCTGGGGGAGGGCAGTGCTACCATGATAGGAGGTATTTCACTTTACACAAATTATCTGTGACAACGGATCATAAAAGGATGTTGAGCATCTTCAGTTGGTATTGAATCCACTCCAGCGAGTTCCCTACGCACCGAAATCAGCCAGCAGTTCTCAGAGCAGGCAACCACCTGCATGAGCAATGACAATCTCTGGGATTTCCGTGGAGCTGGAGAGAGCTTGTCCCAGAAAGCTGCAGAGCAGGATCATGTTTCCCCATCCTGCTCAGGAGCTGTAAAAAACAGCCTCCCATCTGTCAGACTTTGGAGAAGAGTGTTCCCTGTTTAACCCTCTCGCTGTGTGCCTGTTGTAACTCTGTTTTTTTATCCACCATTTGTGTCAAGCTGTCAGACACCAGGATGTCAAACTAACACTGCTTTTGTGTTTTAAGGGAAAAGGTTGTGAGGCCATTCTTTCAGAATACACTCCATTCCAGAGCTAGGAGACTTGCTTCATCCCCAAAATGTTCCTAAATCTTTTGATGAAGGCGATACTACACGATAGGTGCCAGATCTCAGGCTCTGTGCTTTCTGTGTGCCTGAAAGGCTGTGCCTTGTAAATCTGAGCTCGGGAAAGATTTGAAACTTGGAGCGTGTCTCAAATGTGAGAGCAGCCCTCCTGAATGCTTTTTTGGCATTTTCTGGCAACCTGTCAATGGCTCAAGTCTGGCCAAGGATGTGTCTGCCTTTTGGTTCCTCAGTTTGCAGCGAGAGCCTTCCAGCCCCACAGGAAGCAGAATCGGGCTGCTGCTGGACTGACTGGCTTCCTGTTGGTCTCTCTGTGCTTCCCGGCAGTCAGGTGACAAGAGGTGTGCATGGAGGGGAAGAGGAAGAGCAGCACTTGATTTCATGCCTTGCTGCCTTTAGTTTCTTGCTCAGCCTCGGGGAGGGGCAGATTTTACTCTTTGAGGAATTAAGCGTCACAGCACCTTTGAGCCAAGTAAGGCTTTGCTGAGGAAGACACTAAAGGCAAATAATGGAAAATTGAGATGCTGTTTCTATTTCCACCTCCTGCCCTAATTCTCACAATTACAGTTCAGGACAGAAATCTTTTGTCTTTTTACTGCCTTTTTGCACAGTAGCATCCATTAGCACGTCTTCAAATGCACTAACACATCCTCTCCTGCCTCTGCACAGGGCTGTTGGGACCTCAAGGACCAAGAGGACTTCCAGGAGAAACTGGGATCCCAGGTCCCCCAGGTCCTCCAGGGCCACCCGCCACCCCAAGCCTCCCTCTTACCTTCCAACAAGGGGTTCTCTACTCACTCCAGCCCACAGCTGAAAAAGAAAGTAAGTTTTCTCCTCGGTTCACTTTTTTTTCTGGTACATCAGCAGAGTGGGCAGGCATAGAGCAGCTCAGCAATTCCTCCCACCTCCCTGCTAGGCTCTGCCACGGCCCTGACTTCCCTGGGAGAAGCCAGACAATCTGCTTCCATGGTGTGGGTCTCTTGGAAGTCCAAGATGAAACATGTAAGACTTAGAAGCTAGAGGAGTTCACCTTCTCCGAAATGAGGAACTAAGTCACTGCTTATCTAAAACCATCAGTAAGAACAGGGTTTGGGGGATTTATAGTTGTTTCTTGTGCCTCTTTTTCTGGGCTCACTGTAGCTTTGAGGAGGCAACTCGGTGTCCTTTAAGCTTCTGTCATGAGTAGTTGCTGTGAAGAGGGCCTCTAGTGAAATGGCAGAGCTCAGGTAAATCACCAGACACAAGCGGGCAGAGAAATAAATACCACAGTCTGGTGCTGGTGCAGTGACACTGCGCTGTTGGGAGACCTCTTGGTGCCACTGCTGCAGTGCTGCGGGGCTCAGGGGCACTCAGGAATAAGCACCGAAGGTTTGCGACGCTGAGCTGGCATAACAAGGGCATCTGTTAAACGCGTCTCTCTTCCTGCCCCCCGGATGCGTCTTCCACTTGTGTTTCTGGTACAACAACATTATATCACATCCACGCATGACACGGACCTACAAACTCGAAAGCCCAGACCAGGAGCCATGATTTATCCCTTCTCTGTAGCTGGATGGTCCGGGTTTCTTTAAGCCTATGGTGATTTAAAAATATATTTATTTGATTTGTGTTGTGCCTGATATGACAAGGCACATCATGTGCTTTTGTCTGACCACGCTCAGATTTGGGCTCGATCTGATTTCTCCTGGTCCAGTCTTGTGTAGCTGGCACCTAATAATGATAAAGCAGGGCTCAGCTGTGTCTTCACTTGGCTTGTAAACTCCTGAAGCCCCGGCTCTGCCAGGTCTCCCATCTCCACTCCCCCAGACTTCAGCTGTGCCTCTGCCTCAGCTCTTCTGCTCACATCTAGTTTCAAAGCTCAGTTGTATTAGTGAAAGCCGAGGATTAGTAAGTCTCCCTGTGTCTGACAGTTTTCTAAAGCTTTCCTTTTCCTCCACCCACTCTGCTCTCCAGACTCCTTTTCCTGAAAGTGAACAGATGTATTTTTAATTTGGGAAGAATTTTAACAGCTCAATTTCGTGTTCAGTTACTTGGAGCATATGGGCAGCATGAAATTAATTGTGATTCAATACTAAGATTTTCAATAAATGGAGATTGAGCTGCTGCCTTCGTGAGCCTTATAACAAGAAAGTTTTGCATTACAGTCACTGCCTCACAGGGTCACACCAAATGGTGCCGCTCTGCATTCAGCCTTGTATTCCAAAGGATCCTTAAGGATGGTTTGGGCACTGCTGCTGCCACCTCCCTCCAACTACCCTTTAAATTAAACTTTTTCTTGCAAAGTAATGGATAAATTAAGAAGAGTATAAAGGCATTGATAACATGGCCTTCGCAGCTGATGTGTGAGAAGGATGAACTCTGTATTGTCCAAAACTGGGAAGTGGATAAATGAGTGGATAAATATCTGTACTAACGGCCACCACTGGGCAGCAACAGGCTCCCACATGGACCTGAGGACCGTGAGTAAATGGTGGCCGTTACATCCGTGAGGCAGCCCTGTGCTTCTCCCCCGTATCTGTGGTGATTTCTTGATTTGCAGAAGGAGTAGCCCAAAACTCTATGACAATTTTTCTCACTTTAAAATTTTTTCTTAATACAAGTCTCACTGCAAGTGTAAGTTACCTGTGTGATCATGATAAAGTTACAGCAATATCAAGACCATTTTCTTATAAAAATTACCATTTTACTTACGGGTTGGCTGATTTTGCCTACTAGATGTTGGTGGAAAGCTGATCCTCTACAACCAATAAAACTTAGCCTTGTAAATTCTGAGCAGATTTTTTGAACAATTTATTTATTTTTTTTTAAATAAACCACATCTGAAAACTATAAACACAAGATTCCAGCTGCTGACAGCAGAGGGAAGCATATTCCTGGTAATGGGCATGTGCACCCACGGAGATGTGAGAAAGCTGTATCAGGGTATTAGTTGTGCCTGAACATGGTTAATACATGTGCCTTTATTAATCACAACAAGTTCCCGTTGGCAATGTTTATCAGCGAGCAGAAGCCAAAAATGGCAAGACAAATATTTTCTCACAGTTTCACTGTGCTGTGGTGAAGAAATTGGTCCCAGTTGTCTCCCTCCAGATCAGGTAGCAGAAAGAAATTAAGACAGTATTACTTCATTTCCATCCTGTCTCAACAAATCAAGCCTGTAACGGGGGAATTTATCCCTTAGAACCGTTAGTCGCAGGGCAGAAGCTGGAGCGCCATGCCCCGCTGCCGCGGCTGCTGCTGCGACCATCGCTTGCTTCCTCTGCCGCTTAAAACTGAGCGGGGCAGGTACATGGTCTAGAGCCAGCTCAGTCTGCTTTCTCGTGCTAAAGCTAAGGCGATTTGTAAGGAAAAGAGGAAAGGAGGCAGCTTTCACTCTGTTGAGGGCTATGTTTTCTTGCATCTCAAAGATTTCGGTTTGCAAAGGACGCACGAGATAATATTAACCTATTTTGCAGGGAGAGCAAGGGGAAACCGAGGCACAGCAGCCTTGCTTGTGCACCCAGTATGTCACTGGTGAAAAAGAGTAGAACAGAGATTCGCCAAGTGACATCCCAGTGCCTGCTGCCATGCATAGCCCTTCCTGAGCAAGGGAGACAGAGCAGAGGAAGCAAAGGGGAAGGAGAAGAGGAAGGGAACAGCATTTGATTTTAAAAACTACACCACTTGCTTTCAAAGCTGTTTGTGCCCATGCCTCTGAGGTGCCTTGCCACTCTGGCTGGGCAAGTTTCACTGCCTCGTTCAGGGCATTTCTGTGCGGGTTCGGGTTTCCCCTTTGCAGGATATTTGTGTTCTCTTCCAGAGGACATAGATGCTTGTATCTGCCCAGGTCAGACTGGTTGCACTGTTCCTCTTCGATCGAAGAGGAGTTGGAAATTGGCTAGGAGTTGGAAAGCTCCTGGAGCAAATTGTGTATCAAGGTCTTCTCAAATGAGGCAGTAGTCTGCCTTCTGCTTTGGTGTAACCAGAAGCACTGAAACAAAACTGAGTCCTTGAGCCCAGCAGAGCCTGGGTGAACGCAGCAGATGGCTGAGAAGGAAAGATTCCCACTATCATTTGTTGCCAGAGTTAATTTTGTGGCTACTGTAACAGCCTTCAGCTGCAGTGAGCCCCAGAATGTCCCCGTTTATAAGGAGAAGGGAGTTTATAAGGAAATCCAAGTTCTTTCTGCTGCTTTATGGGAATATGGAGAGATCCCCTTAAAAAAATATGAGGATTGTGTTTTAACACACTTCAATCCCAGTTTATTCACAGTATGTTTCATTCAGAGCTCACCCTGGAAGGAAACTGTGATTTGAAAGAGTTGTACCTGGCCAGGCAGCTGAGGAAGGAGCCGCTCTGGGTTTCCTGCATGTCCATACTCCTGTGCTGCAGAGGCCAAATCAGCAGCTACTGAGCTCAAGGGCTGTTGAGCAGAGCTGTCTGCTGTCACAGTTATGGAATCACCTTTCATAAAAAACTTTGAGTCAGATGTCAGGATAGGTGGCTTTGTGGGAGTAACTCTGTCATCATAATAATGTACCATTTAGCTGGAATGTTTTGTAAGCCAAATCTTTATCCGTGGCTTACCTCCAGCAGTAATTAAATCCTGGTTGCTCGCAGCCCATCCTCTCCCCCTCTCAGTGAATGTGCATTTGATTTCGTTGACCGCTTGTTCTTTAAAAACAAAAGACTCTGCAATTGTTAATGCCTTCACCGCTGTTCAATGCTCATTTCCCAATTTCATCTTGCTCCCAAGCCGTGATGGATTTTGACATGGTCAAATAAAACTCAAATTAATTGGATTACACACTTCACTTGGGTACCTTTCCTTCTGAACATGAAAACAGTCTCAGTTGTTTTGTTTCAGGGATGTGAAGAAGGAAAGATGGATGGGGTTAGAAACAATAGTCAAAGAAATACCTGCTTGCATTCAGGCTTTAGGCATGAACTTTGGTTCTCAGAGGGTTCTGGGTTAGATCTTGTGCTGTTCTGCTGCCAGGAAGGCATTGCCGATACACTGTCATCCTTGGCAGTTGAAGAGATTTCAGTTTTCTCTGGGAACTGCTTTCAAACAACTTGCTTGAAAGTCTTCTCTATCATTGCCGATGGTCTAGAAGTTGAAAAGACTTCATAATGTGTCTGCTAACATTTCTGGAGATTGCATGTTATGTCCTTTGGGCTGGACTCTGTTGAGTAAACAAACACCCTTCTGATCTTCCTGGCATCAGCTGATATTTACATCAATATAGCAGTCTTCTACACCTGCAAAGGGTTCCCCTGAATTCTGCTGTGATGAGTTCAAGAGATGAGTGAAATGAAACATGAGTAAGTTTGAGGTCAAGGGCAGGAGGAGATTGACGTTATTACTGCAAGGTGGCCCCCAGCTATGGAAAATGTGGACTTTTCAGAGGTTTTACTATCCTGATGACCAGGAGCTAATCTTCATCCAGGTTAAATGTAACAGGAAATACACAGTTGGTCCTATAGCACTGGTCAGGACAGTGGATTGCAAATCTTAGCAGCTTCAGGACATGGAGGTTCCCTTCCTTGCTCTGTGACCTTGGTGTCTTGGTCAGTCACGGAATTTTTTCCCCGAGGTTTCCACAACTGTCAAAAAGCGTTGTGGGATGCTCAGTTGAAAGATTCTGCCATACAGGTACACCCCCAGACTACTACCTACAGGACAGTTCCATAGGGAATAGAGTTGTTGGATACGGTATTGGAATTGCAAAAAATAATGAGTTGCTTTTTTAGATGTAGTTCTGTTTTTTCTATTCAGTCACCAGCTGAAGTGGTAAGTCCATTGGTTCAAGTAGGAGGGCAGCTACAGGCTGCTGATTTTTATTCCTAACAGCAGAGGACTGAGAAAGATATGTGAAAGCACAAATTGCTGATGCTTTTCCCCTCCTTGCTCCACTCCCATTTCCATCTATTTCCCAGAACTCAGTGGCCCTGCCCAAGCTGGCCAGTTGAACACTTAAAATAATCCTGAACGGCAAGTGAGTCCTGACTACGTGGAAGGGGCAGAGCACACACTCTCCCCAGGCTTTGCTGCATCCTTAGACCTCAGGATATCTCCCACCATGACCTGGGTGGCTTGGGGAGCTTACTGGGTCGGTGGGGATATGCTGGACTGCCGGACTGACTCAGCAGTTCACTGATGCCAGACACGAGGAAGCTCCAAATCCATGTTTGATTTCTCAGCTTGCCAGAAGCCAGATGTGTCTTGGAGATGGCAAATTTTGGGTCAGTTATTGCTGTACAGTGCAGAGCTACTCTTAATCTGCTTTGGCATTCAAAGGTAGGATTATACAGGTGTGCAGGAGCACCAATGTTTTGACAGAAAGGACAACTTTTCTGGGGTTATCAGAGGTGGAATGAGCAGCTCGGCAGGTCTGGGGGATGCAGCCTGTGCCCTTAGAGAGCAAAGGGCAATTGGTCCAAGAGCCCAAATTTTGCATCCTGAAGCACTGCTCGCCCTTGGCCAGCAACAGGCGCCAAAGGATTTTGGAGAGAAGTCCTGGCTGCTGGGACTGGGCAGCTCTTGCTGCAGGAACACTAACTGCTCTGCTCTTTACCGCAGATGGAGAACCCCAGCTGGCCTCCACCGTCATAGACACCATCATGGCTGGCCTGCCAGGACCGCGGGGAGCCCCAGGCCCCATTGGGCCACCAGGTAATAAACTGATTTGAGCTGCAAACCTGTGATGGTGGGGAAGATGAGCAAAAGAAATTTCTGGAGACTGGAGTAGTCTGTGGGATGCCT